AGGCTTCTGCCTGAGCCCGCCCATTCAGCAGCCAGTGCTCAGCCCCACTCTGGGCCATGCCTGGCTGTGTGTGCAGGGGGTTCCGTGCCGAAGTGGACAGGCCCCTCCCATCCTGGGCACCTGGGTTGGGGAACATGAAGTAGCCAGAGGTGTTTGTCAGCACTTCCAGGTGGGGACAATAGGGAATGGGTGCCCAAGGGAGGGACATGGGAGCCTCCCTGGGGGCTGACACCCGAGTCACCTCCCGAAGGAGGAGTAGGACACAGCTAGAGGTTTCCTAGAGGCAGGAATGAGGTGGGCAGATACTCAGGTGAGTCAGCAGCAGTTTCCATGGGACCTTGGACCCAGGTGCTGGCAGTGTCTGCCTAGACTACAGTGGTGCCCTGGCGGCATGCCCCCTTGAGAGCATGGGGGAGCACCTGATTGACTTAGCAGCAAAGGAGTCTGGAAAGCCAGGTTCTGGGGGAACTAGCCCCTTGTCCAAGTTGGGGCAGGACACTGGGTCCTGGGAAGCATGTCTAGAGCAGGAATACTTGGGTGGTGTGGGTGTTGCCGTATTCTGCCACGAGATGCCACCATTTGAATGGCATTTACTGAGCTGTCTCTGTATCATTCCAAGGCATCCTGCAGTGTGACTGGCCCCAGCCTACCTGCCACTCCAGGCCCATGACCCTATCTCCCTTCCAGCCTTTCCCGATTCCAGTGCCTTGGTTCATGCCTGGCCTCTGCCCACATGCCCTTCCATGGCTAGTTTCATAGTCAACTGGTTTTCATTTTTCATGAATCACCTGAAATGTCCTCCTTGGGGAGGCCATCTCTGACCATTCTATGTGCAGTGGTCCTGTTGCATTTTATTTTTGGCATTCCACTTTCCCTGTGCCTTGACAAATTGTCTGGTGTCTGCCCTGCTGGGATGCAAGCCCCATGCAGACGGGGGCCTAGTCAAGGTAGGCCTGCACCGTCTTGCAGAGCCAGGCCCAGCACCTGGCGGAGATGGCCAGATGAATCTTTCATTAAACAAAAAGAACAGACCTGTGAAACTAGGACTGTCATGTAGCTCAGGGAATCTGGGTGCTCAGAGAGGCTCAGGGATTTGACTGAGGTCTCCAGCAGTGGGAGGGAGAGCCAGTCCCAGGTCTGATCTTAGCTGCTGCTGCTGAGGACTTGGGGGAGTAGGAGGGAGGAGTGTGTCAGGAGCAGCTGGAGAGGCTTAGAGGCCCAAAGGGGCCGGTGCTTAGCCAGCCGGAGCGCTGCAGCACCAGCAGTGCCCAGGACTGCTGAGAGCCTGCCTCTGGGGCTCTGGGCGGGAGCACCAGCTGACGCAGGCGGAGGAGCTCCTGGTGCCAGGCGCCTGGTACCACGTGCCCAGCCCAAGAGGTACTTCCCAGCCTGGCTCCGGCTGCCCCAGACTATACAGTTGCAGGCAGAGTTGGCCTTGACTGCTCAGCGAGCTCACACTCTGGGATGGGGGCTGGCCACCCTGGATGCAGGAGGCTCCAGTAGCTCTCCTGGGCCTAGGGGACCCTCTCTACAACCCATTCCTCCTCCCCCATCACACCTTGCCCTCAGAGCTCTCCAGCCTCCCTGACAGCCCAGCCCTGCCCAGCAAGGCTTGGTTGAGGCCCCTTTGCCAGCCTTTGCTGGGCTGCCCTCCTCTAAGAGGTGAGGGGCCTCTGAGGGGCATTCCCCGGTCTGCACCCCGCCCCCTTTGACTGGGCTGGAGGGGAATTTTCCTGTGACTCACTCTGCTGGCACTTCCTGTGGTCACCAGGGCAGGGGCTGAGGGGACCCAGCGGGGTGGCTCTGTGTTCTGGGGTCACTGGGGGAGGGTGGGCCGGTGGCCCGCCCCCTGACGGGATGTGATTCCCTAAGGCCGTCTGCAGACCATATTTGGGAAATTTGCTTTTCCTACAAGCAGTCTAGGGGTGGGGCCCCTGAGCCCTGGTGGGCTGCAGGGCAGCCCCTGACCCTTCCTGCTCCTCCGGGGTCTCTGGCCTCTGGACCTGCTTCAGCCTCGCCTGTCCCATCCTGCCTCGGAGCCTAGGAGGTAGTCCACTGTTTTCTTTTTCAGGATGTTATTTTTTCAATCCCCAAACCAAGTAATGCTCATTAAATACAAATTGAAAATTTTATTGAGGACTCACTGACACCTCAGTGCATTTATAACTGTCCTACTTATGGTGTGGACAGCGTTGCAGCAACCTATCACCCGGGGGCTTTGCCCTGGCGCTCACCTTGGTACCGTGTGAGTCTGCCTGCTGTCTGTGAGCTGCCTGCCTGGGCTGGCTTTTCCCCTGGGCCTTGTCCCTCTTGGCTCCCAGCTTTCTGGCTTCTGGCCCTTTCTGAGCTGCTCTGTAAAAAATGGGCTCCCAGCTGATGCTCCCCAGAGTCTGAGCGTGCAGCCTGGGCCTGGGGCATGTGCTGCCTGCCCAGGCCTCCCCCAGGGGCTGCTGTCCCTCTTGGCGGTGATCAGACTTTCTTCCCTACTCCTCAGTGTGATGGGCAGGGGACATGGAGCTCAGAGAGGCTCTTTCTGGCCCAGATGCTGGTGTGGAGGTGGGCCCTCCTGGCTTTGGCTGAGGCTTCACGCCCACTCCTCTCTGCCCCCAGAGCCCAGGCTCCCACTTCCTATTTCTTCCCAAGGGGCATGGCCCTTCCATCCACCTGGAATTCCAGCTTCTGCTTGACTCCTTAAAGATGGAGTCCAAGGAATGAGACTCAGGCCAAGGTGGGGAGGGTCACACAGTTAGTCGGTGGTCTGAACCCAGGTGTCATTTCTGAGTCAGGTCTAGACCAGGCTCTGCATCCTCAGACTCCAGGGGACTCGGAGAAGGGCAACCAGAGCAGAGGCCTGGCTGGTGTTGCTGGAGCCCAGCTGGCCTGGCAGCATCCTCTCCTCAAACCTGGCTTCTGCCGTGCGTGAGGCCTGGGCCATTGTTGAGACTTGCAGAGTTCTGTGCTGCCCTCAGAGATGCAGACAGCCTGGCCTTCTCACCCAGGTGCTTACTTCGCTCCTGCCCTCTGCTGGAACGGAACTTGGCCCTCCTGCTGGGTTTCCTCTGTAATATCTCCGGGCCCACCCTGAGCCCTGCACTCACACAAGGGAGCAGCGGCAGCAGGGGCCTCCTCGCCCCTGTTCTTTGTCCCGAGTGAGGTTCTGGGCCAGCCTGTTTGGTGTCTGCCAGTGCTGGGGGCCTGTCCATGGAGCGTGTGTTCCCGCTCTGGGAGAGTTTGCTGACGAATACGGCCCGTAGCAGTGCCCTGCAGCAGCAGTGCTGGGCTGGCTATGAGAATTAACAGGAGTAAAGAGCAGGGGTGGGCCAGGGGGTGCTATCCTTCTGTGGCTGTCCTCACTCTGTGTGGGACGCTTTCTTAGTCTTACTTTATTTTCCCCATTTATTCCTGATGCCTGTTTCATTCCTCTCTCTCTTCCAGGAGTACCCATGCAAGTGTAATGTGTGTGGAATCTGTCCTTTGACAAGTGTCTATGAAAAATAGGTTGAATTGTTTTGTTGACGATCGTAACATTAATGTAAAGCATTCTGGGCTGTAGATTTGTTTATTGCTCTGATGCAGGAGGGTGTGGCTAGCATTCCTCACTATACACCTGGGCACCTGCTGGAGCACAGAACAGGCTTACAGGTGTGTCCCGCTTTGCTAACTGGAGCCCTGAGCATCCTTGTTGGCCATCTTGGCCATTCAGTTTTCCCCTTCTGAGAATTCTTCGTAGTTGGTTATCTGTTGGCATTCTTGACTTTTCCTTGCTGATATGTCAGAGCACCTCCAGATTCTAGATTGATCACTCTCTTTTCACTTGGTGGCCTGTCACCTTGTCAGCTTTGTTTTGTCACCTATCCAATTGGATCCATTCACCTTGATGAGGATGAATCAATCCTCTGTTTGTTTTTGCTGTTGTTACCTTATATTTTGTACTATTGGGATCTTTGTTTTGGGGGTTTGCTTTATAATTTTTTCCCACCTCAAGGTCACAGATATTTTCCCACAATTTTTTTCTTTTATCAGCTATAAAGTTTTATCTTTTACATTTAGGTCTTTAATTGCCTTTTGTTTATAACATGAGGCAAGTGTCCAAACTGACTTTTCTTCCTCCAGTGAGTGAGTTTTCCTAGAATCACTTGTGATGCAGCCCTCCCCTGCTGCAGCCTGTCCTGGCTGCTGGTCCCTGTCCCATGAATTTGGAATTGTGACCTGTCGTCACAGCAGGAAGGAGGTGCCTTTTTGTACCTCCTTTTTTTATTTTTTCAGAATTGACCTTATTTGTGGACCTCTATTCCTCTGCTTAATTCTGGAAAAATTCTTTTTCTTTGGTCCAATTCCTAAAAAAAAAAAAGAAGAAGAAGAAAAAGATCTTGCTGGCACTGGCACTTTTATTGCACTTGTAACTTACTGTAAGCTTGGGCGAATTGATACATTTTCTCATCTGAGGTGTCTTACAGTCTTTGCTTGATTAATTCCTGGATAACTTGTAGCTTTTGTTATCACATGACGTGGTTTCTGTGAGGTCCCTTTCCAACCACTTTTGATCCTTCTAGTTTGTTGAGATTTTCACATGGATGACATGTGGTCTGCAGGTGGTGACCTGTTATCCCCTCCCCTCTCTCTGGTCTTTTCTTCCTGGCCGGTTGCACTGTTGGGGCAGCAGGACCACTGTGCTGGGGCAGGGAGGGTGTGCATCCTGTTCTCTTCCCAGAACGTGGTGGCCACTATTATCATCGCTGCTCTCCCTGGTGTTGGTCCAGGTTGTACCATGACTCTGGGAGTGTTTTGTAGAGTATCTTGAGTGCCACCCTGGGGTGTAGGTGGTGGCTGCAGTCATCTGATCAGCTGGGCCTTTCTGCTGGGGCAGTGGGGACAGAGGCCTGGGGATCTCTCCAAACCCTGCTTTGTTCCTTTCTCCTTGCCAAGGCCAGATGCCTCCCCAGTCCTGGAGTGGGTGGGAGCCAGTGTCCTCATGCCCGCCTGTGTCCTCTCCCCCCCAGAATGTGCTGGCCAAAGCCCTCTACGACAATGTGGCTGAGTCCCCGGATGAGCTCTCCTTCCGCAAGGGTGACATCATGACCGTGCTGGAGCGGGACACGCAGGGCCTGGATGGCTGGTGGCTCTGCTCACTGCATGGGCGCCAAGGCATCGTGCCCGGGAACCGCCTCAAGATCCTGGTGGGCATGCATGACAAGAAGCCAGCAGGGCCTGGCCCCGGCCCACCCGCCAGCTCAGCCCCGCCCCAGCCCGGCCTCCATGCTCCCGCTGCCCTGTACACACCCATGCTGCCCGCGGCGTACCCAACCCAGCCCGACAGCGTCTACCTGGTGCCCACCCCCAGCAAGACTCAGCAAGTTCTCTACCAAGCCCCCGGACCCAGCCCACAGTTCCAGTCTCCCCCAGCCAAGCAGACATCCGCGTTCTCCAAGCAGATGCCCCATCACCCGTTTCCCAGCCCAGCCCCAGACCTTTACCAAGTGCCCCCAGGGCCTGGCAGCCCTGCCCAGGACATCTACCAGGTGCCACCTTCCGCTGGGATAGGACACGACATCTACCAGGTCCCCCCATCCATGGACACACGCAGCTGGGAGGGGACGAAACCACCAGCCAAGGTAAGGCCTCCCTGGTGTATCTGGGCAGTCCTCCTGTGGCTTTTGTCCAGGCCTGGTTTCTGGGGGCAGCAGAAAGCACTTTTGGGGCCTCTAGGGCTCCAGCAGTGGCTGCACGTTTGGTCTGGGGCCGAGGTGGGAGGTGAGCATCTGGGGAATGTGCTTACCTGTATTCTGATGTGGATATGAGCAGGTTGGGGCAGCCCGAGAGGAGACACCGGGCTGGCCTTGGACCATAAGGTGGCCTTCAGCTGACAAACCCCAGTGGGAGGGTGTCACCAGCAGAGAACACAGCTTGTCAGGCTGAGTGTGGCAAGCAGGGCAAGCAGGGCTTGGCCGAGAAGGCCTGAGCAGCAGGCCGGGGTGGACCTCCAGGGACCTGGTGCCTTGCTGAGGGTGGAAGGTTTTGGGTAGGAGTAACCTGCCCAACCACAACTGGTAAAGTGATTCTGGCCACGGTAGAGGGTGTGGGGAGCCCAGAAAGGGGGGGCTGGGAGGCACTTGAAGGGGAGAAATGGAGAATGGAGCGCAGGGCTGCAGTTAGGCCAATCCAGAAGAAAGGACTGGACAACAGAGATATTTCGTTCTCACAGAGCATGATTGGGAGAGGAGTGGAGCGGAGCCCACGGGGTCCTCCAACTGGCCACTCTACCACCCTCCATGTGGGGATGGCAGGGAAAGGAGGAGGGGACCAAGGGGAGAGGCCAGCCATCACATGCCCCGGACCCCTCAGGTCCCCTTGAAGGGGTAGAGCTTATCTCCACAGGTGCCTACTCCTCTCCTGGGCCATGTCATGGGTCTGCCGGCGTCCACAGGGTGACCTGCTTGTGACTCCTGGGCTGCGGGGAGGACGCTGTCTATGGGGTTGTAGGGTCACCCTGAGGGGGACTCTTGTTTAAACCCCTTATGGGCTGTTGCCATTGTGAGGGTGGACGGCGGCCAGGCTCCGAGTCCAGCACCTCAGCTCCACACAGGCCTGTCTGCCTAGGCCGGAGGTGGGACTGGAGAGGGGCCAGGCCCCCACTGAGCTCTGGGCTGAGTCAGGAGCAACCTTTACTCACCTTTGGGCCTGTGTCTCCCAAGACACAAGTGGAGTAGAGTTGGGAGTGGACTTTTCCTGCAGCCCCTCCTCCATTCTGGTCTGCCCCTGAGGACCCTGAGAACCCAGCCCACATCAACAGGGTGACCCAGCCCCACCCCAGCTCCCCAGCTCCTCCCTCATCAGAGGGAGGCCATTGCAGAGGCCATGGTGGGAGAGCCAGGGGTGGGCCCAGCAGCCAGCCTTTAAGAGAAGCCACTGTGCTCTGCTGGGGTCAGCTTCCTGGGACCTCGCCTCATGTATGTGCCAGTCTGGTCCAGAGTTGCCTCTGTCTAAGGACACTCACCCCCTGGCACTGAGCCTCTGTCCTCAGAGCCAGCCCAGGGCTGAGGTTGGAGCCTTGCCCAGGCCAGGTGGGCAGTGGTTTGGTCATGATGTCGTCCTGCCCTGCCCACAGACAGAGCTTGGTCTCCTGGCTGGAGATTGTTGGCTGGCTGTGGACGAGGCTCCATGGTCACTGGCTCCCAATTTCTGCCCAGCCTGCTCCTTCAACTACCTGGCCAGAGACAGGCCAGTGGCAGAAATGTGCCATGCTGGACTGGGATAGCCCAGACTTGGGCTGCTGCCAAGGTGGCCTTAGCTGGAGGAGCAGAGGCCTGCCAGGGGGCACCTATCCTGTGAGGAGATGGCAGGGAACAGTGACTGGCTGGTGAGTCTTGGAACAGACCATACATAGTCCATCCCCCTGCATACAGCCCCTCATCCCCCAGGGAGGGACTTCCTTTCTCCCTCCCTGCCTCCCTTCCCAAGTCTTTACAGTCAGGCTTATCTTGGTGCTTCTGTGAGGCCAGGGCAGGGAGTGGAAGCCCAGTGGTCCAGGAAGCAGCAGTGAAACCCTCACTCCAGGCCATGGACTCAAGCCCACGTTTTTGCCATTGGTTCTGTTTCCCTCCCATGCGAGGAGCTTGCTCTCAGACTGCTTCTGAGCTCACGTGACTGAGTCCCTTTCTCTACAGACCCAGACCTGGCTGGTGGCCAGGAAGAGAGCCCTGTGTCCTGGGGCCTGGTTGCCCTCCCTGGAGGAGCCGCATTGCTCCTGGCCTGGGCTGCCTTGATTGCATCTGCTTTTCTTTTATGATTGTGAAAGCAGTGCTTGCTTGTCATGGAAAATGCATAATGTATGAGAGAGCATGGAGATGAGCTTCCCCAATCAAGAGAGGATCCCTGGAGAATCTCGGCATATTTTGTCTAGCCTGTTCCCTATTCGTCTTTCACAGATTTGTATACATACTTTTGTATTTTGAGGTTGTAAATCCAACATTTGATGTCAGAAGCATTTTCTTGGGTCCTTAAGCATGATTACAAAGACCGTGCCTGATTTTGCTGGGTTGCGCCCTCTGCTGGGAGGCGGGCTTCAGGCAATTCTGGTGGCGAGCGCCTCTGTTACAAATTGCAAGGCAGTAAACATCTTAGAGTGTGCACCTGTGCCCACATTTCAGGCTGTTTTCGGAACCCTGAAACTGAGGCCCCTGGTTCCAGGGGTGGAGGTCAGCTGGGTTGAGGGGGACGCCGCCAGGACAGTGGATGGGTACACAGGGCTCTGGGCCCAGGCAGCCAGAGGGTGAGTGACAAGGCTGGTGGGCAGGAGGCGTCTGCTACCTGCAGCCTGGTGCAGGGTGGCCTTTGTGGCTGGGAAGAGAGGTCAAGGCCACACTGTGGAGTAGGCACCCTTTGGGGCTGGGGCATGGCTTTAGGAAGCTGAAGGCAGAAGCAGGTGGGGGCCCCAGAGGGGGAGGTGTTTTGTGAGGTCACTCCTGGGGAAGTGGTTCTAGGTCAGGGGCTGCAGCTGTGCCTAAGGGGGCAGCCTTGGCACTGGGTCAGGCCCTGGGGAAGACACAGCTGAGCTCAGCCTCATTCCTTCTGGAAGGACAGGAGCTTCGGAAGGAAGGGACCCACGTCAGGCATGTCCGTCACTCTCAATGAGAGGTAGTGGTCACCTGCTCCGTCCCCCAGCACCCAGGCTCATGCTCCATTTCCTGGAGCAGAAAAACAAGTCTGTTAGATGAGGGTTGGGCTGGAGGGGCCAGAGTGAGCCAGCCTAGGTCACGTGGGCTAATGCCTCTTTTGCAGAAGGGGAGACGGGCAGTCCAGCTGCATGGAGGTGGTTGGCGCTCCCAAGCAGGACGCAGCAGGCAGCCTGCCCTATCCCTGGGGTCTTAGGAACCTGCAGCCACAGTTCTCACTCCTGCAGGCGCCCTGATGGGCCTCGCCTGCCTGGGCCGGGGTCTCTGGGTGTGCATCTGGCGGTGGGTGTTGTGCGTGTTTTCTCCGCCTCTGCGTGTCTTTTTTCTGTGCCTTTGACGTGTGTGTGTGTGTGTGTGTGTGTGTGTGTGTGTGTGTGTGTGTGTGTGTGTGTGTGTGTGTGTGTGTGTGTGTGTGTGTGTGTGTGTGTGTGTGTGTGTGTCTTGAGTTGGGATCTGTGCCTCCCCCCAGACTTTGGTTGCGTCCCCCACCCCCACAGGCTCCAGGTCCTGCTAACGGGGCCTCAGGTGCGGAGCAGGGTGGCCTGTGATTAATGGGCTCCGCGGCTCTCTGAAAATGAGCTTTTACTTCCCCTGTTCGTGGCTGCCCGCCTTTTTCTTTATAACAGAAAACATTTGTTGGTCTATATGGCTGCTTACTGTCACCGACTCAGCCACACAAGTGGCACTTTGCCCATGGCCCAGGCCTGGTCCAGCCCCCAGCGCCCACCCCCCATCAGTGTGAGATGGAGCAGGCACTCCTGGGGCACAGAGAGGGCGGGTGCACCCTCATCCTGGGCCCAGTTCCCACCTGCCTTCCAAGGCCAGCAGGGCCTGGAGACGCCTCAGGACTTGCCTCAAGGCCCCGCCAACCTGCCACGTCCCGCCAGCCCCCTGCCTGCCCCGCCTGCCCTGCTCTTGGCAGGTTCCAGCATCTAAAAATAGCTCTGGAGGAGACACAAGTCTGGGGCTCAGAGAGAGATGAGTCTGGGGAGGGCCGCCAGTTCCACTCCCAGACTCGCCAGGGGTGCGGTGGGCAGGGAACACCCCATGGAGGAGCTCGTCCCAGCAGCTAACAGAGGTGGGCAGGGGATGCATCAGCAGGAGCCTCTGCCAAGCCCAGGGCTGATCAGAAAAGTGCTGGTGCCCAGCCTCAGTGGGGACACTGCTGCTCCTGGGTGCCCAGCATGTGGCATGCATCCTGCACCCTCCAGGGCGCACAGGCCTGCAGAGCCGATTGTTGGTGTCATGGGGGCTGGGCGCAGGCAAGGGGGCATGAGCCCTGCTGTTCCCTGGGTTGTATGTGGGGAAAGCCTCAGTCAACCCTGTCCCAGACCTCCCATTTGATTAGGGAACAAAAGGCCTTTTTATCAGAGAGAATTGAGCAGGGAGCCTTGTGGGGGAGTTTAGAAGACCCTGCTGGCCCCTCCTGCAGGGCTGACCCCTCCCACAGGCCTGGGTGCCTGCAGGGAAGGAGACTGCTGCCCACCCAGCACTGCCTGCCAGGTGTGCTGGCATGAAGGGCTCTGGGCAGCTTACCACTGTGGACCTCAGGCCAGGGGCAGGCCACTGAAGAAGGGAAGGGACTGGCCTTCTCTCTGGGCTGACATCCCCCAACTAAGCCCTCTTCTTTTTGAGTGGTGGTCTCAGTGGCCCTGTGGTTGGTGCAGTAGGGAGTCGGGGTCTTGGTTCTGGTCTGGGTCACTCCTTCACACCCACACCCGACCTTCCAAAACAGCTCCATCTCTCCTTTTGCCCTAGAACTGGCCCTGAGGTCTGGGAGTCCTTGGTGGCCCTGTCCTCAGAAGTCTCCCCAAGATGTGCTGGGGGAACAGGGAGGCCAAGGGCTCTGCTTGCTCCCCTGCCAGGCTGCTGCCTCCTTGCAGGCCTCAGGCCCAGACTGTCAGGACTTCCTGCTGGCCACCTCCTCTGGACCCAGCCTGAGGAGGCCCAGCCTGGCACCATTTGTCCTGGAGCCAGAAGGTCACTGCTGGGTCCTTTGGTAGGAACAGCCTTTTGCTGGGCAGGCCTGTCTGCAGAGGGTGCAGCTGAGAGGTGCCATCAGGCAGGGGCTCCCCAGTCAAGGGTGCTCCCCCCATCAGCCCATGGGTACCCCACCTCTGGGACCTTCTGGGTCATCCACCTCTGGAGACTGCTTCTGTTTCCTGCCAGAACCAGATGATTCTACACAAACAGCGGGGTCCTAGTATTCCCCAAGTGCTGTGCTTCATTGGAGAAAGGGCAGGGAATACAGAAGGATGAGGACCCCCTTGTGTATGGGATTCTGAGTGTGTCCGAGTAGCCTCTGAGCCCACCCTTGGGAAGCCCCCTATGTGTGTCTTCCCCACCTCAGTGGGGCATGGAATCTCCCTGAGGGTAGATCCTGGAACTGGCTTCCAGGGCCAGTGGTGACAGTTGACTGTCTGCCCCCAGGTGGTGGTGCCCACCCGAGTGGGGCAAGGCTATGTGTTTGAGGCCTCCCAGCCAGAGCAGGACGAGTACGACATCCCGCGCCACCTGCTGGCCCCAGGGCCCCAGGACATCTATGACGTGCCCCCTGTTCGGGGGCTGCTTCCCAGCCAGTATGGTCAAGAGGTAGGTGTTGGGGTGGGATGTGCAGGGGGGTCCTCGGGGAGCTGGGCTTTCTCAGCCCCAGCCAGGGTGTTCCTGGGGGGTGCTGTGGGTTTCTGCTCTTTCCCTCCCCTCACATTGCCCCAGCATCTATATCACCTCACCTTTTCTGCCCTCAGGTATATGACACACCCCCCATGGCTGTCAAGGGTCCCAATGGTCGGGACCCATCACTGGACGTGTATGATGTGCCCCCCAGTGTGGAGAAGGGCCTGCCACAGTCCAACCACCACGCAGTAAGTAGTCTGGGGATGCTGAGGCCTGACTTGTGTGTAGGATTCTGGATGTGACTGATTGTGTGCCCTGGGATGGGGACCCAGGTTGGCAGGGCTGGAGACATTGAGAGACTCTCAACCCTGGCTCTACCCCTCACTCGCTCTGACAGACGTGGAAACTAAGCACCCTCTGAGCCTCAGTTTCCTCGTCTGTAAAAGCCCCCTTGTAGGTCCTTCAAAGGGTTCTTGAGAGGATCACACAGGATATCAGCAAGGTGACCACAGAATTTATCCTCAAAACCAGGGTACTTCTGAGCGCAAAAGGAAGATGACCAGTAATTATGAAGGGGCATCAGGCACAAACGAGGACTGTCCTGGGCGAACACAGGTGTTGTCACCCTGAATACAACATGCAAATAGCTCAGCCAAGTACCTGCCACAGAGTAGAGAATACATAGCAGTAGTGGTGACAGCAATGACGATGGTGGTGGTGGTGGTCGCAGTGGTGATGATGGTATGAGGACTGACCTCTCATTCACGCAGTGAATTAACTCATGTAATCTTCACAATAAACCTGTGAGGAATTTCCCCCATCTTATAGATGAGCAGAATGGCAGAGAGAGGTGGAGTCATTTGCGTTAGGTCACACAGCTTGTTAGCAGTGAAGCCAGGATCTTGGGCTCTGATCTGGCTCCAGAGTTGGGCTCTTAACCTGTGTGGAGAAGAATCATGAATGTGAATGTGTGCCCTGGGCCGTGTCTGTGTGTGTGACTGGGACCTGCCTGTAGGCTCCTAGGTGGGCAGATGGGTAGCAGCCTTGACCACTTCTTGGCCCCCAGGTCTATGATGTTCCTCCATCGGTGAGCAAGGACGTGCCCGACGGCCCACTGCTGCGTGAGGAGACCTATGACGTGCCCCCTGCCTTCGCCAAGGCCAAGCCCTTTGATCCGACCCGCCACCCACTGGTCCTTGCTGCGCCCCCTCCAGACTCACCACCAGCGGAGGACGTGTATGACGTGCCACCTCCAGCTCCTGACCTCTACGATGTGCCCCCTGGCCTGCGGCGGCCTGGCCCTGGCACCCTGTACGATGTGCCCCGAGAGCGGGTTCTTCCTCCTGAGGCTGCTGACGGCAGTGTGGCCGACGACGGGGTGTACGCGGTGCCCCCGCCAGCTGAGCGAGAGGCCCCGGCCGATGCCAAGCGCCTGTCGGCCTCCAGCACGGGCAGCACACGCAGCAGCCAGTCGGCCTCCTCCCTGGAGGCGGCAGTGCCCGGCCGTGAGCCCCTGGAGCTGGAAGTGGCCGTGGAGGCCCTGGCACGGCTGCAGCAGGGCGTGAGCACCACCGTGGCCCACCTCTTGGACCTGGCAGGCAGTGCTGGTGGGTGTGGGGGCTGGCGCAGTGCCCCTGAACCTCAGGAGCCCCCAGTACAGGACCTGCGGGCTGCCGTGGCTGCCGTCCTCGGGGCCGTCCACGAGCTGCTAGAGTTTGCCCGCAGCGCCGTGGGCAACGCTGCCCATACTTCTGACCGCACGCTGCATGCCAAGCTTAGCCGGCAACTGCAGAAGATGGAGGACGTGTACCAGACGCTGGTGGCCCATGGTCAGGCTCTTGACAGTGGCCGGGGAGGCCTGGGGGCCACCCCTGAAGACGTGGACCGCCTGGTGGCCTGCTCTCGGGCTGTGCCCGAGGATGCCAAGCAGCTGGCCTCCTTCTTGCATGGCAATGCCTCGCTGCTCTTCAGACGGACCAAGGCCCCTGTCTTGGGGCCCGAGGGGGGTGGCCCCCTGCACCCTAACCCCATTGACAAGACCAGCAGCATCCAGTCCCGGCCCCTGCCTTCACCCCCCAAGTTCACCTCCCAGGACTCACCAGATGGCCAATACGAGAACAGTGAGGGAGGCTGGATGGAGGATTACGACTATGTCCACCTGCAGGTGGGTGCCCTCTCTGCCCAGCTTCCCTGGTCCCCCTGGGGGGGTCCCCTCAGGTCCCTGACTGACACCCCTGTCGTGGGGACCCTGGTCCCCCCACCACAGAGAGCTCTTGTGGACAAAGGAAGATTTGGTCCCCAGCAAGGCCTTGGTGAGTTCCTGCACGTTCCTCCCTTTGACCTTCCAGGCCGATGGGCCCCCGGAAACCCATCTCCCTATCTCAGTTCTTTGGGCCCGTGTGGCTGTGTCATCAGGGGTCCTGCAGTACCACCCAGGAGGTACACTCTTGAACACCTTTAAGAGCTGGGCTACTCTGGTGACCAGGGCAGAGGTGGCCCTCTTCTGTTTGGGGAGATGAATTCTGAAGTACAAGCAAAGACAGAGTTACTTACAGGCATAGGGGAAGCAGTAAGGCGATGGGCAGGTGGGGTGGGTTGGGCCTCTGAGCAGAGGCCAGGGTGCCTGCTGAGTGGACATCCCGGTGAGTGGCACTCCAAGATGAGAGCTGGCAGGTGCCAAGGCCCAGTGGTCAGGGATGGGTGGGCAGACCATGTATGCCAAGGGGACGGGCTTGGATGTGATCCCTGACATGGGAACTGGGTAGGGAGGCTGGCCATGGCCGTGCGAAGTGTGCCTAGCCCCTTCCTGGGGGCAGGAGGTGAAGGAGGCCCAGGAGAGCTGCTTCCTCAGGAAGCTGCCCCACCCTGGACCTGCGTGCAGCGTGCAGCGCCGCCTGGTGGCCCCTGGCCTCACACTGCACCTCACTGGGCCTGTGGGGACTTCTGGTTCAGCCCAGTGCTTGTTTGTGTCTCCCCTCCAGGGGAAGGAAGAGTTTGAGAAGACCCAGAAGGAGCTGCTGGAGAAGGGCAACATCATGCGGCAGGGGAAGGGCCAGCTGGAGCTGCAGCAGGTGAGGGCACTCAGGTTCCTGGCTTTTCCCAGCACAGGCGTCCCTAAGAATCTGTCTCCAGAGCTGAGCCTCCCAGGTGCCCCCTCACTCGCAGCCCATCCCTGCTCAGCTGCATGACTGTCTCCATGTGCTCATTGGATTTATATTTAGGTTATTATCAGAGTAATCATTAGAGATTTTAGCACACATGGGAAAGTGTGGAAACAAAAAAGAAGCCATTTACCCCCAGGGGTGGTCACCGTGCTCTGACTTCCAGCCCTGCTCCTGCCTGAGAAGGAGCCTCTGTCCATGCTTGAGATGCGACTTTGTGAACAGTTACATCTGTTTCTATCTCAAGATGTTTCCATGGTATTAAATATTCCTCATAAATTGTTTTTAAAGGCTGCATGCATCTGTTATAGTTGAATGTTTACCTTGTGCCCAGTGTTCCTTGTTGTAAATAACACTGCTGTGTTTATCTGCAGACATAGGATTTTCTTCATATTTTGGATCATTTACTGAGAGTAGGAAAGGAATTTTTTTAAGGGAGTTTTATTCTGATTATGAAGATTTAAAAAATTAAAATATAGTCTAGTCCAACATGAATGTGAAATATCAGCCAGAAAGTTTCCGTCAGCCCATCTTCCCTGGGCACGGGGAAGGGTGGCTTGGAGAGAGCCTGCCGGTGCCATCTAAGACCTGGCACATGGCATGCATTTTTCAAAGCCACGTTTCCCCAGCTGTAAAGTGAGGAGCACAGTTGTACTCATCGTGGGGCTGATGTGAGAATTAAATGAGTGAACCATGTATAATGCTTAGGAGGTGCTGGGCACACAGAACATGTTCATGATTAGCTGTATGTGGAATCTCCACTGACTTGGGTGATGGACCTCTGCTTTATCTGCTTTATCTTCCTCTGGGCTCTTCTAGCATTTATTTAACCAGTCCCATGTTGGTGGGCATTTAGGTTGTGCACAGAGTTACTTTTGTAAACAATGCTATGCTGACTATAAGTCTCTTCACATATCTGACTGATCACTTAGATAAATTATTAGGAGCTGGAAGAAAAGGAATGTGTATGAGAAACTAAACATTTAGAGCTCCTAAGAGAGGAACATGAGGTACAAGTGAAATATAGGTACATAAAATGTATTGACAGGAATGTTTGTTGCTCCATTTCCATATCAGTGGAAAATCTGGAACCCCCCCTCAAATATCTAACAATAGAGTATTGGTTAATAAAGTATGAGCATTATACAGTAGAATATTATGTAGCTATTAAGAATTGTCAGAGAATGAAAAGGACCCAACAGACTTAAAATAAAAATGAGTGTATTCTTTCTCTGGACAAGAGAACCGGGAGGCGAGTTTCACCAAGTAGCTGCCAAAGAGGGAAAGTCAGAGGGTTTCAAGTGCTAGGAAGTGACAGTTTCATATTGGTTTGCTAATTAAAGCCTGAAACCTTGGTTAGAATAGAAACAAGTAATATACATGGCGGGTCACAGCCACGCAGTCAGAACCAGCTTATGAAGACACGTTGGTCCACACTGCTGACATCCAGGCAAGGCTGCCGCTGGTGGAAATTATTGCCTTACCACACAGTTCATACGTACTCACTGACGTGAAATGCATGACCTATTGCTGTGTGCTAAAATAGGCTATAAAATATTATATATTGTGTTCTTTCCAGTTTTCTAATTAAAAAGGAAATTGGGAATATCCATCTTTAAAGGAAAACTTCTTGAAGAATGTACACCAGTTTTTGGTGTGAGTTATTGTTTTCTGAAATTTCAAATACCATGACCTTTTTGCTTTTGTTTAAAATTTTTATTGTGGGAAATTTAATACATACATAAAATTGAAGAACATAGTCCCCCAGGTACCCACTGGAGAAAAGGAACCCTGGATACCATTTGCTCAGCCCTACCCATACTCAGCACAGCAACTAATCCAGTGTATCTGACACCCCTTTCCCCCAGATCATTTTGAAGATGTTACATCATTTCATCTGCAAATACTTCAGTATATAGTTCTAAAAGATAATTTACCCAAGATTTAACAGAGGTTATTTCTGGATGCGTGGGATTCCAGGTGATGCCTGTCTTTTTTTATGCTTGGTGTATTTGAATCTTTTTACAGTATATATGTTAAGGTGAAATTTTTTTTTTAACTTTTTGTTTTGAAGCACTTACTGATTCATAGGAAGTTTTAAACAGAGTGCAGGGCAGTCCTACCTACCCTTCTCCCAGTGATCACATCTGAAGTAACTAGAGAACAGCCCTCGAACCAAGAGACTGACATCCCTCACCCCTGCCCCTGCTCATTTGTTTTCTATTTCTTTCATTTTATCATTGCAAAAATGTGGCATAAATGGAATTAAACCTTTTGAGATTGGCAGTAGAGCTGTTTGGAGAATGTCTAGCAGGCACCCCTTTCTGTCTCTTTTGTTCCCTGGCCATGGTTTTCACTCTGCTTTCCCTCTGCCCCAGATGAAGCAGTTTGAACGGCTGGAGCAGGAGGTATCACGGCCCATAGACCACGACCTGGCCAACTGGACGCCAGCCCAGCCCCTGGCCCCGGGGCGGACAGGCGGCCTGGGGCCCTCAGACCGGCAGCTGCTGCTCTTCTACCTGGAGCAGTGCGAGGCGAACCTGACCACACTGACCAACGCGGTGGACGCCTTCTTCACCGCCGTGGCCACCAACCAGCCACCCAAGATCTTCGTGGCACACAGCAAGTTCGTCATCCTCAGTGCCCACAAGCTGGTGTTCATCGGGGACACACTGTCACGGCAGGCCAAGGCGGCTGACGTGCGCAGCCAGGTGACCCATTACAGCAACCTGCTGTGCGACCTCCTGCGCGGCATCGTGGCCACCACCAAGGCCGCCGCCCTACAGTACCCATCTCCTGCCGCCGCCCAGGACATGGTGGACAGGGTCAAGGAGCTGGGCCACAGCACCCAGCAGTTCCGCCGGGTCCTGGGCCAGCTAGCAGCCGCCTGAGAGCTGTCACCTAGAGGGACAGAGGGCAGGGGAGGTGGGCAGCGATGGCCCCCAGAGAGCCGTCATGCCTCGGCCATGGGGACAGGTGACCCCAGCTCCACCCGGGCCTGGTGCCCCAGACTGTCAGGGATTTGTATATATTTATGACGGGGCAGGATGTGGGATGGTGCCTCCTCAGAGGAGCCTGAGCAGAGCTGGGCCCTGGTGCCGAGGCCAGGAGCAGGCTGGTGATTTTTCCTGAGTACACAGCTGTCCTGCGGGCCCAACACTCAGGCCGGGCCAGGGACTTGCAGGCCCCTTGGCCCACGTGGCCTCAGGTGACCCTGTGGGCTGACCCAGCCCAGTAAGGGTGCCGGTGGCCCCTCCACAGGGAAAGCGCAACTGTGGCATGTTCCCTCTGCACCAGGAGAAAACCCTAAAAAACTATTTTTCATTATTGATTTTCCAATCATTTGACTAATAGTCTACATTTAAATAAAATTTCAAAACCGAGAAGCGGCCTCCTGAGGCATGAGAGGCGAGCATGCCGGAAGGTGGGAGGGCAGGTGTGTCCTCGCTCTCGGTGCCACAGGTGGGAGTGGTGGGTTGAGGGGATTCGTGCTGAGGCTGTGGGCAGCCTCTCCAGAGGGTGAAGAGAAAATGGGCCCCTTCAGAAGAAAACCAAGGCCCCGGGAAGCAGGGCTGGGCCAGGGAGATGAGGCTGAGGCATCTCCTTCGAGGTGGGGGAGGGCTGCGGTTGAGCCTAGGATGCAGGAGGGAGGTTGGGACCTCCTCTGCTGGGACCAGAAAAGCTGGGTTTTGGTGCGGCAGCCAAGGCTGCAGCCAGCGCTGAGGTCTGATGCAAATCCAGCATGGTCCCAGGGCAGGTGGCCAAGGCAAAGGCAGATGTGGGGGCTGGGGGAGCTCCAGGAGTCCCTACATCCCAAGGCAGAGAACTGTGTCCCGGCTGAGGGCACTGGTAGGAGATACATGATTCCACATAGAGAAGCTCGCTTTCACAGACCTTATCCGGAACTTAGCTCTTAGAAAGAAGCCCCTAATTTCAGCTTGTGGGACATCTTATTTGAATTACACATGGACTTGGCATCCAAGTGGGGAGGTGGGGGCCCAGAGAGGCCCTCACTTTGGGTCATTGGTCTCCTTTCCAAAAGTCTTGGCACCCCAAGTAAGACAAGAGCCCTGGGAAGGAGGTGCTTCTCTCAGCTCTCACCATTCTGCATATGAACTTGGGCCTCAGTTTCCCTGTCTCTGTGAGGAAGGAAATAGGGTTAGGTGATCTGTCAGCTCCCTCAGCTCTGAACTCCAGAGGGGACCCCAGTGAAGGCAGCCATCTTACCTCCCCTCTCCCTACTCTAGTGAAGACACACAAGTGAAGATGCAAGCAGTTGCTCTCAGTAATTTTATTTGGGTTTTACACAAATTGGGAGGTGGGGTGGAACAGGCTCAATTGGCCTCCAGAACTTCCAGAACCCAGGGAATAAACTTGGTGACCCGGGTGTACACGCCTGGTGAGAATGGGCGACACCGGCTGCTGCCCCAGGACACAATGCCCACCAGGGTCCAGCTTCCATCCTTCTGGCAGACCAGGGGGCCACCAGAGTCACCCTGCAGGAGGAGAAAAGACTTGAGTCCAAGCCTGAAAGGGGGTGTCAGGGCCTGAGTGTGCAGAGGGTGCAAACGACAAGTCGGGCCCAATGACCGGGCACCAAATACTTAGATCTGCTCAAAGGGCAGCCCCAGCTCTGTGGCCTACTCCTGGAGGGCCTGGGGCAGGTGGCTTACCCTCTCAGCCTGGATGTAGTCTGTAAAATGGGCTGAAAATAACCAGCTCAGGGGGCTGGCATGAGATTAAATACCCTTGGGGCTTCCCACCATTGGCCAGAGCCAGCCCTCACCCTGGGCATCTGTCCATGCAGGGCCGTACCATGCAGGAGGAGATGCCGCTGGCGCCTGCGCAGATCATCACGTCGGTGATCTTGCTGCCCCAGTACTTCTTGCAGTCCCCGTTAGACAAAAGGGGCAGGGTT